AAAACTAAATTTTAGTTAAAAATAGTTTTTAAAATTATTCAAGAAGTAGAGTAAAATTAAACTTTAGTTGACAATAGTATATTAAACCAGTCAAGGAGTGGAGTAAAATTAAATTTCAGTTGACAAAAGTATATTAAATTATTCACGGAGTACAGTAAAACTAAACTTTAGTTAACAATAATATTTTAATTCAGTCAAGGAGTGGAGTAAAAGTAAATTTAGTTAACAGTATATTAAATTATTCAAACTGACAACAGTATATTAAATGCTTATTTATGTATAGCACAATGATGTAGATTAACCCCCATTTAAAACCCACCAAATTAAAAACAATCAAGGTTGCTACCGAAGCTTCAAATGTGCAGGATATTGCAGACAAAATCAAAGTTATCAAGACTGTGAATGCTACTTAAATCATGCAATGAATGACAAGAACAGATGGTAAACTGTGTTTAAAACTTTGACTAATGAATAATACAAATGAAATTATTCATTCCCATCCTATGTTAACAGGGCCAGATATGGTCACTCCCAACAGAACTGAAAAGAAAATTACTAACCATAATTATTAAACATGGAAATGAGATGTCTGAAAAAGGCTGCAGGAGTGACCACAACAGATAATATCAGAAATGAGGTCTTAAGAGAATAAATACAGCACAGAACCAATTCTAAATTACATACAGAGACAGCAAATCAAATGGTGTGCCCATGTAGAGAGAATGCATTGCGACACCATACACGGTACCGAAGGCATGCACAGAAAGAGCATGTAGAGCACAAGGTAGACCAAGAACAATATGAAAAGATAACATCAAAGAGACTCTATTACAGCACATGATGTGCTCATGGCTGACATGGCCAGAAAAGTCAGAAACATAACCTTATATCTCTGCTGACACCCGAGGTGGTGAAAGAAGAAGCGAAGAAGAAAAAAAAGAAAAAAACAAGATTAATCAATGATGAGAAATTGTAAAAAGTCACAATCTCTGCATACACTGGCTGAACATCTGACAACATGAAAAAGACAGATTTGGCACAGAAATGTAGAGGTTGTTTGTTTGTTTTAGTATCTAGAAGCCATGAGTTGTTAACCCTTAGGCTCGGTATTATGGATATCGCAACTCTTCTGCCTTGATTCCATTGTAAATACCGTAAATCTGGGAGAAAATGTGGCTTTTCTGCCTACCCCCGGGAGATAACCCGGACCAAATGGAGTTCGTCACCCGGTCTTCGCGCAATCCGGTTTAGCCAACTACGCTAGAGAGCCGGGCTAATGCAGAGGTTGAATAAGGTTAAAAGCTTATGGCACAACAGTTGAAAACAATTTAAATCTCACATTTTGAGACCATGCGATTTTCTTCAAGCAACAAACAGATGTGAGCTGTGTATCATTTCAGTAATTCAGAAGAACTGAAGATTTACAGAAACATGTGTTTAGTATTATCGCTCTGCATGTGTGCGCATGCACGCATGTGCATGAGAGTCGTGAACTTTCTCGCAATTATTTAGAAAGAAAATGTGGGCTTTTTAGCAGAAATGCTATAGAATTCTCAAAAACTGGATCAAGAAGAAAGAAATGCTGAAGAAATACTGACACCATAAAGGATATGATATCAAGGAATACTGTGTCATAAACAGCATCTTGTCTCGGAAGCTAACATAATTTAGCCATATCAAACCTCACAGCGGACTGGAAAGAACAGTAGCAGAGGGCAAGTGGAGCAGGGGCTGACCAGCATGAAGATGGGCACAGGACATAAGAGACACCTTGGGCAGGTGAGTGAAAGAAGCAGAAGAGCTGATGGGGGAACCAAGCCTCTCTCAGGCAGGCTGAAATGTCAGAAATATTCTGTATAGGACCTGCTACAAGATCTCTCTCTCTCTCTCTCACTCTCTCACTCACTCACTCATTCACTTAAGCTATCATTGAAAGATCATAGGTCAGCACACACACACATAGTTAAACTGTTAACAGAGGAATCTACAAGACTGATTCATTCATGAAATAAAAAGTTAAAGTGCACACAATAAAAGATGTTTTGTGTATCAGAGATCTAGTTATAAAATGAAAGGGTGACTGAAAATAAAAAGGCAAAAAATACGACTAGAAGCAGAAACAAAAAGTATCCTTCTCCGTGTGAGTTCTGGGCTGTACAGTGGGGGAAACAAGCAACAAGAATAAAACCATCGCCTCCCTTTCAAGCATGTCATAAGAGTCGACTTCGAATTCAGAGTGCGTCTGCTTGAGAGGCTAGAAACCAACAGTCTTCAGAGAAATAAGCCAGATCTGTAAAACAGATGTGCATGTAAAATTCAAGTTCTGGAACAAGACTAAAGTCCAGAAGTGGATGAACAACCAGAACTTTCCTTCGGAGTTTACAGCCAGTGAAAACGAAGAAGCAGAAGAAGAAAAATAAAAAGAAGAAGAAGAGCAACATTATGGAATACATAAAGGACACGAAGAGACTGAAAAAGGAAGGTAAGTATATAAAGAACCCATTCCTATACCATGAAACATGCTGGGTAAATGGTACTAGCCTCATATTTAAACAGACCAATCGGCATTCAGCTGATGATATGGACCACCAATTACTTTGCAGAATATTTCTTACTACACATTTTAGTTTGTTTGATGTGGCAGCATAGGTAAATTAAAAAAACATATGCCGTGACGGGGATTTAACACAAGACCACCATCTCAACTGGCAAACAAGCTACATATTCCATTAGTTTCTTATTCTAGGCATGTGGTTTTGTATGCTCAGGTCAGACCGCTAGGTGGGCTAATCTATGAATTTGTTGGTTAAGTTTTGCAATTCCTCTATGGTTACCCATAGCTTGATTTGCACACTTTGCTCTCAAGGCCAAGATTCTATTCATTCCACTAGTTTGAAAGATAGCTTTTTAGCTATTACACAATACTGATTTTATCAAGACTTTATTGACTGAGTCAGTGATTGGTTGATTCACAGACTGAATGACTGATCAGATACAAGGAGTGTCTTTGCTGCACTATCCATTAGTTACCCTACCTCCTTTTCATGACACTTGCAGCCACTTGTGGGTTAAGTTATTTTATAATTTTATACACGACTTGAAGGTCATAAGGTCATGTAAATTTTGAGGTCTTGCTGCTGGAGTTAAGAAGTTTGCGCTTAATGTGCTGCCTTCGATGGCTAGCCAACCATCAGGAGAAAGAGATGGAGCCAGAGGGGCTAAAAAAACCAGTTTAATGAAGATAATCTTACCACTTTGGCAAGCGCTCAGGTCAGTGCATAAACCCATGCAGCACTGGATTAATGAGCATATATCAGAGTTCACACAAGCTGTATAATTTCCTAGTTCTGAAATATTGCCAGGGTAGTCGCTGGTATACCCTACTCATCGCATACAAAATGTTTTACCCTTATCCAAGAAGACTAGGCATCTGATACGCTATCCTAAAATACAACTGCTGTGTAAACAATGAATGTTTAGAAAGGTTCGATTGTAAGATAGGCCTGCATGCCTAAGTTGCGACCCTTTGAAAATAAAGCTCTGCCTATCTATCCACCCTAGATAAGGCTTCCTCTGGAAACGACTATTTGAAAATTGTGTTCTTATTTTGATTTGAAATTACAGTTAGTAGTTGATTACATGATTATTCTCATTGCACATCTGACAAGTCCATAAGCGCTCGGATCCCATCTTCAGTAGATCCCCCAGCGGGTGGCGACTGATAACAACAGTTATGTATTGGTTTACTACACTTCTTTGGCTACCTGTATAGTGTTCATGTTTGACTACACTTTTTTTTAAAACCGTGGCCCTGCCAGCAAAGCCAATCCGCTCGTTCATTCCTTCTTACCCCAGAGTATGGTGGCACAAAAATGAAACTAATTCCTTTCAGATGAGATTTCATCAACGACCTCAATCATTTTCTTTGAATCCATCCTGTCTTTATCTTCTTAAACATGCTCATGGAATAACTGAGAAAGCAGGCATGGAAAAACTACTGCGTCTCTAGCCATATCATTGCTTTTGTTACTGCCATTACCTCCATAGTCAAACTGTTCTTCTTTCACAGTTTTCCCTTGAAAGAACAGTGAACTGATTGGTCAGCTTCTTGATCTCACTCGTTTCTCATTAACTGGATCTATCAGCTCTCTTCAAGCGGAAGATGATGAAATTATGTCTTTGCGTACTTAACGTTTATTGCCTTTAAAAATACACAAAAGTTGGGGGATCACAGAAAGGGCTATAAAGATTGAAAAGTAAGTAAAAATATAGTTTTATGGAAAAAAAAAAAAAAAACTTTATGAAACCTTTATTAGTAGCTTTTTTGCCTTTAAAAAATATACAAAAGTTGGGGGATCACAGAAAGGGGCTATAGAGATTGAAAAGTAAGGAGAAATATAGTTTTATGGGAAATGGGGGAAAAAAAATTACTTTATGAAACCTGTATTAGTAGCTGCTCTTTGAATGCTCTGGTAGGCTGTTATTGTTACCAGTTTGGCATGCTTGTAAAAAATGTTGAAAACAAAACAAAACAAAACAACAGGCATCTAAGGATAATAAAAAACAATTCCTATTTCACTACTGTTTTTGAGCAAGCTGTTCACTAAATGCAACTGGCAGGCAGATACTGTTGCCAAATAGGCATTTTGGTAAAAAAACCCACATAGAGCAGGTACTAAAATGTACTCAAAAAGCTGCTTTCACACAACTTTTATTTAGCAGCTGGTCTCTGAATGCTGACGGCAGGCAGTTATTGTTGCCAGTTAAGCATGCTGATGAAAATGCAGCAAAACAGAGCAGACTTTCTGAAATATACCTGGCAAAGGAAGAGTCTTAGATCTGGCCTCCTCATCCTTGACGCCAAGATTCTTTGTATTTGGTCTTGCAAAGCCAAAACTTTTACTGGGATTTGTGGGCGTGGAAGGCGTAGTGGGAGTAGTAGCTCCCTTGTTGGTTCTTCGTGGTAAGGTGCTGGAACCAGTTATCTTCTTTGTACTGGCCAGTGAAGAAGTGGAGGAAGATGCAGAAGAGCAAGGAGAGGTTAATCCCCTTGTTTTCACAGGTACAGAAATTCCACTGGTTCTATCTTTAGGATCGGGGGTGACAGGTCTTCTAGGCGCTCCTTTATAAGTTGAACTCAGTGTGGGCCTTGTCAGAGAAGCTGCTCCAAAAGACAGACTTCTTCCTTTTTTGTGTGCTCCTGGCTGGTCGACTGCAGTTTTCCCATCTCGCATCTTCCTTTGCTGCATGGATGTACTACCCTCACCTCTGGAAGCTCCATTTCCTTTCTTCTCAGGCTGGCAGTCGAGTTCATCTGCCGTGAAAGTTTCCAGATCATCAGGTTCCGGCAGGACAAATGCATGGTCCGGAAGACTGAATGCTACATTCCTCTTGCTTAAATCTTCCCCATTCATCCCTAAACTACTGAGAAGCTTTCTCTGAGGGCGTGGAGTGGTTGGGGTGCTGGGCACAGTAGATGGGGCCTGACTGATGATGTATTCTTGCTAGTGAAGTTCAAAGGTGTTACTGATCGCTTAGGAAGACTGTGCCTTCTGCGGACCATAGGAGAACTTGGTGCACTGTTACAGGATGTTACTGCTGCTGCTGCACGATCTGCCGGCCCTCTGATCTTAGGGATTCTACAGCTAGTTGGAGGTGAGGTAAAATCTAAATATAAATTACCTGTCTTGCTGGGGGAGACCGTACCTGGTTCATCTGAGTTGCCGTCTGCTTCAAGGTCATGAGCATGAACTTGAAAGTTATCAATCTCCTCAGCAGTGGTGGATATAGTGGAGGTTTTGACATTTGCTACTGGTGATGGGGAAGAGGCGGGAAGGGAGGAAACAAATACGGACAAGACACTTTGGTCTTTCTCACCCACTTCATTCTGAGCATCATTCTCAGATATAGAGCAGTTTTCTTTCTCTGTAACATCTAGAAAAACAATAGAGTGGAAATACAACAATACAACACTGCATAAACATGGCAACAACACATGCAAACAATAAAAGAGTAATAATATTTTTAAAAAAAAGCCATTTGTACTTATCATTTGCTAACAGAAGAATAGACAATAAAACTACAACGCTGGCAAAGATTACAATAAGCAAAAGAAAATATTAGACAGAAATAATTTAGTTCTTGAGATACATGAATTAAAAACATAAATGTCTAATTAATCATTTTCAAATCTGTACATTAGTAAGTAATTAAGGCAACTAATGACTCTGTCTCATTATATTCTTATGAAAGTTTAGAATGTAAAAATTATTCTTACTGCACCAGAAGGAAGTCTCTACAGTTAACAGGTCAGAGGTTAGATTATGAAAACATTAACTAACAATAGCCTTTAGGGGAGTTTTACTTTGAGCTAAATGACTTTTTTAAAGGCAAGTTGACATCACATTTTCTCATAAGCCTCAATGATAGAGGTCATGACCTGAGACATCTGATACACATGTTATTTTTAGGCACCGGAGGACATATTCCATTTAAGGCTTCACCCTGTTAGTGTTATTAATTACCCCTTTCATACATCTATATCTATTTCGATTTAAAAAAATAAAAAATAAATATGCAGATAAATAAATTTGTAATGAGTTATTAGTGACCTATGTAAAAATTGTTGTTTGCATGGATGTTTTCCCTGGAATTCTACCGGGGTCATGACCTTTTTATTTTAGTGTTCACAGGGCAAAAGGGTTTAATCATTTAATCTCAGACTGTATTGTTTTGTTAAGAGTGCAATTTTTCTCCAACGATTTTCAAAAAACTAGGCCATGGCATAATGAGACAAAGTGATCAGATCCTTTCAATGTGATCTTTTCTTCCTAGTGAAATTCCAGAAAACTCTGGTATCCAGTTGGTGAAACTGGGTCAACCCCAGAGCTGCATATTCAGGTCAACCACATTCATTATCCTGTGATGTCATTATGTGTCACACAGGGCTCACAGGCTATTTCTTCATTCTGTCCTGTTCTGTGCAATCACTCTGATATGGGTGGAGTCCACTCCAGCACATCTGGCTTCTCTTACCAACCTCGGCCTCAGCTCAGACGTCCTTGTTTCCTCAATCCCACAATTCACTGCCTGACTGGTGATTCTCTGTTTGTCTCTGCTCAGAATGTATCCATTACTTCTCTGTTTTATAACTACTGACACTTTGCGGTTGCCCAGACATTTCTCTCACTTCTCTTGAATTCATTCAAGTTTATGTTCATAATTTTCCTCAAACATTATATGCTGACCTGAGATGTATATGCCAGATTAAAATAAGTCACAGTTTTTGCAGCTATTGTCACAAATTATGTAGCTATTGTCACAAATTATGTGGCTCTTGTCACATATTATGCAGCTAATGTCCCGATTTTTACAGCTCTTGCCACAATTTATGTACCTATTGTCCCAATTTATGTAGCCATAGCTACAATGTATACAGCTCTTGTCACAATTTATGTAGCTCATCACAATTTATGTAGCTATTGTCACAATGTATATAGCTATAGGTCTTGTCACAATTTATGTAGCTCTTACCACAATTTATATAGCTTCTTGTCACAATGTATACAGCTCTTGCTACAATTTATAAAGCTCTTGCCACAATTTATACAGCTCTTGTCACAATTTATACAGCTCTTGCCACAATTTATTTAGCTCTTGCCATAATTTATTTAGCTCTTGTCACAATCTATATAGCTCTTGTTACAGTGTATATAGCTCTTGTCACAATGTATACAGCTCTTGTCACAATGTATATAGCTCTTGTCACAATTTATAAAGCTCTTGCCACAATTGATACAGCTCGTCACAATTTATACAGCTCTTGCCACAATTTATATACCTCTTGCCACTATTTATGTAGCTCTTGCCACTATTTATGTAGCTCTTGTCACAATGTATAAAGCTTTTGCCACAATTTCTGTAGTCCTTGTCACAATTTATGTAGTCCTTGTCACAATTTATGTAGTCCTTATCATAATTTATGTAGTCCTTGTCATAATTTATGTAGCTCTTGCCACAATTTATGTGTGAAACATAAGTAAGCAAGTGAAGCAGAAGACCCCTTTTCACGGAGTGGCCCATCGGGCATACAATGCTAGGTTCATATTTGTACCCATAAATAGTATGTGGCCAACATCACTCCAGCAATCTTTACTTCCCAAAACTTTACCTGGTACCCATGTTAGGCTGGGCAAACCTGGGAGCTAAGGTCATTTTAAAAAAAAACAACAACACTAACTGCACCTATGAACTTATGACCTCTAGGTCGGAAGGTGGAGTATTTAGCTGCTACATATGTTAAATATGACACAGTAAAAATCCAGAACAAGAAACAGCAGAAACGGAACAAGTTAGTGCTGTGTTTACGGAATGACAAAAGAAATAATAAACACTGAAACAAAAATCGCAGCAAATGATCAAACTATGTGGAATAAATTTAAATACTACAACACCAACTGATGAAGCTAGATCTGCCAGTGCATAAATGAAATAAATTTAAATACAAAAACAGTATCTGACAAATCTAGAACTATCAATTTATCTACAGGATAAACAAATACAAGAACAATAACAGCAAGAGATCAAACTGGAACAGTCAGTGTATATATGGGATAAGAATAAATACAAAACTGCAACTGCTGAAGCTAGATTTATCACTACATACATGGAACAAACATAAATACAACAGCAACTACTAGCCTAGGGATAGCTAGTGCCTTGATGGCTTTTATATGAAATAAATATATACATACAACAACCAATGAAAAGCTGTTTGCTTACGCACCTGACTGCTGGGTCAGCATTGCTTCCCCTTGAGAGAAGAACTCTTCTGATATTCTGTTGTCTCCCATTGCCTGCTGGGCTTTCTTTTCTATCTCCATTAACTCTTTTTGGTACAGCTCTCGCTGTTTTTCCTGTGAGGTATGCAACATGTTAAAGTTTAATCACACCTATTTAACATACTGTAAATTTTTTAATGTAATAAGCACTTGCGTATAAAACATAATTAATTTACTTCTTTCAATGTGAATAACGTCATAGTTTTGCTTTTCCCTGTAATTATATTTCTTCTAAACAATTTTTCAGTATGAATGTTTTAGTGTCATTGCATTTCACTGTAACTGTCTTTCATTGTTACTGTTTCATATTGTAATTACACTTCACTGTAACTAATTTACACTGTAATTACATTTAATTGTAACTGCCTTTCACTCAAAGACTAAATCTGGTTATTTTCTGGTTGGGACACAGCAACTCAAGTGCTGATACATCGGTCACTCTGTAGTGATCAGTTCTCGAAAAATGTAAATTCCACTAGTTCACCGGCGCAGTGTTTTTCACGCCTTCAGGCATATTAGGAATACAGGGCTAGACCTATATTTTTATAGACCAAATGGCACTTGGTGGGTGATGAGGTTAGCATCATGTCTGCCACCTTTAGTTTCCAGGACTGCACCTGTTACCCACTCAAGGGTGGGTCGACCTGGGAATCAAGGTCATTTTTGAAAAAAGTCCGGCTCCCTCAGTCGGGCGTCTAGCCGCCAACACAACTCATTTATATATATATATATATATACACACACATATAAAATTCTAAAATAAAACAACCTGTAAAGTTAGCTGCTCCTGTAGAAGCTGTCTCTGCCGCTGATACTCCTTGTACAGCTCATTGCTGGAGTCCTTGGAGGCTTGTGAGCCCCGGGGAGTGTCCGACAGCTGCAAGCCAGACTGGGCCTTGTCCAGTGTGACACTCCTTGTGGGAGAATTGGATCTGAGTGGAGTTCTGGTGGCAGGGGCTGGGCTTCCTGGCTGATCAACGACAATGTGAAGATAGTATATATTAAACAATCAAATGTGTACTCCCTGTGTGGGCTCTGGGGCCCTGTAGTGGGGAAAACAGGAACAGACCCACTGCCTCCCCATCAACCATGTCCTAACAGTCAACTCTTTGGGGGCTTCCTTTGAAGTCAGAGTGCATCTGCCTGAGAGGCAGAGAACCAACAGTCTAGATACAAGTAAGTCAGACCTGTAAAACGAACATGCATGCAAAACTCAGGTTCTTAAATAAGACCCAGAGGTGGACGAACAACCAGAACTTTCCACCAGAGTTTACAGCTGGTGAACACGAAGAAGAAGAAGAAGACATGAACTGAGAGCTACAGTGGCATAGTAGTTAGTGTGTATGTCAGCCAAGCCAATGGTTATGGATCAATACCCACAATAAGAAACTTTCTCTATTTCTTTTTGTAAGTGCAACCAGTACATGTATTTTTGCTTATGATATACTGTTAGTATGTAAATCATGAAGATAAGGCAAATGAAAGAAAAAAAAATGATTGCAGCAGAACATGGAAATTATCTTGGCTTACACATTGGATCTACTGGGGTGAAAGGAAAAGAAAGAGATGACGGACTGGTTGTGTCTGCAGTGGTTGATGGAGGAAGAGGTATGCAGAGGTCAGACGCACTGAATGGACTGCATTCGAGAAATGCTAAGAAATAGGAGCCAGCGACAATGAACCACATGTTGGAAATCAGCATTAAATAATGGCTTCTGCATCAGAGGATGGAGCACGAAGGGGTTGCTAGGATGTTGATAAGAATAATAATTAACAAGTACAATTGCAAGAATATTGAAGTGACAATTTTTTCTTATATTTGGTCAGAAGTTTAAAAAAACCTAAACTAGCTACAATAGTAACTTCCATTTTCTTTATGTTCCTACATTACAAGCAGGATGGATACATAAGTTTGTGTGCATGGGATAAACAACAAAAAGTGAGGGGCTTTATCCTTTACAGGGCACTGCAAACCAGCCCCAGCATTTGTTGGTTATTTATGGCTTTACTGGGCCATTTTGTGCACAGTAGTTTGCCACTGCTTTCAGAACCGTTCAACACCTATACCATTGTTGAAACCCAGCATTTGTTGGTTATTTATGGTTTTACTAGGCCATTTTGTGCACAGTAGTTTGCCACTGCTTTCAGAACCGTTCAACACCTATACCATTGTTGAAACCCAGCATTTGTTGGTTATTTATGGTTTTACTAGGCCATTTTGTGCACAGTAGTTTGCCACTGCTTTCAGAACCGTTCAGCATCTATACAATTGTTGACACCCAGCATTTGTTGGTTATTTATGGTTTTACTAGGCCATTTTGTGCACAGTAGTTTGCCACTGCTTTCAAAAGCGTTCAACATCTATACAATTGTTGACACCCAGCATTTGTTGGTTATTTATGGTTTTACTAGACCATTCTGTGCACAGTAGTTTGCCACTGCTTTCAAAAGCGTTCAACATCTATACCATTGTTGACACCCAGCATTTGTTGGTTATTTATGGTTTTACTAGACCATTCTGTGCACAGTAGTTTGCCACTGCTTTCAGACCTATACCATTGTTGAAATGAACCAAAAACAACCTGCTGTTAAATCACCTGCTATAGAATCGAGCCCAGTCTGTCAGAATGAAAAAAAAATCTATATATAAACCCAAAACCCCAAATGCAGGCACTCATGGGATTATTCAATGAAAATACGACACAATGAATATATTAACACAAATTATACATTGACAAGCTTGAAATCGCTATTCTGGTGTGTGTCCGAGGTCCCATTGTGAGGGAGAAAAAACACACACACCCACTGCCTCCCTAACAAGAATGTCGTAAAAGTAAACTAATTAATTAGGGTTTTCCTTCGAAGTCGCAGCGCATCTGCTTGAGAGGCAATAAACCAACAGTCTGCATATAAGTAAGCTAGGTTTGTAAAACAGATGGGCAGTCAGAACTCAAGTTCTGGAACAAGATCAAGGTCCAAAAGTGGACAACCAATGAGAACATTTTCCCAGAGTTTACAGCCAGTGAATGCGAAAAAAAAAAGCAGAAAAGAACAGTGAAAAAATAAACCGATAAGAAGAACATTAACAATAACCCAAAAGACACTGTTTCATAGGACTGCATAAACAATAACAGCTACACAGCCCAAACTATACCTTTGTCATGTTGCCGCTGACTCGTGGCGATCCCTTCAAATCCTCTGAGATGGATGCATGTGTGTCAATCACCTCGCCTTCGGAGAAGAGCTTATCCATGGACATCAGCATAGGATCCCGGTTACTGCCAGGGATCATGGACTGAGACAAAGCTTCCTGCAATGGATGGGTGGACCACTCCAGTCTGTTGCCTGCGGGCACAAGGGTACTGTCATGTTAGTCGATTGCATATCTGTTAGAGGAGACATCAGCATTTGTTGGCTGTTTGTACCAACATCAGCATTTGTTGGCTGTTTGTATCAACATCAGCATTTGTTGGCTGTTTGTATCAACTTCAGCATTTGTTGGCTGTTTGTATCAACATCAGCATTTGTTGGCTGTTTGTATCAACATCAGCATTTGTTGGCTGTTTGTATCAACTTCAGCATTTGTTGGCTGTTTGTACCAACATCAGCATTTGTTGGCTGTTTGTATCAACATCAGCATTTGTTGGCTGTTTGTATCAACTTCAGCATTTGTTGGCTGTTTGTATCAACTTCAGCATTTGTTGGCTGTTTGTATCAACATCAGCATTTGTTGGCTGTTTGTATCAACTTCAGCATTTGTTGGCTGTTTGGCTGGTTTCAGAGATGAGGTTTTACAGAAGAATCCTCAGAATTCTTTAGGAAGAAAAAAAAAGCATCCAAGATATTTTGAAATAGGCGAGGGCTTGAAGACAACTTATTACAAACACAAGAGACATCTCATCATTTTTTGGTCATGTCATAAGAAACTGGACCATGTTGTGATCACTGGAAAGATCTGTAGGGAAAAAAAAAAGAAACATAAGAGGACAATGTGAGAAGAATCTTGACAGCCTGTTGTTATGTCTCTGAGGGGTGTTAGCACACAAACTGATATATGCAACTGAAATTTGCAGATTGTGGAGAGGCATGATATCGTCTGGAAAGACGGAAAGATGCCAATCAGTCATCAATCATGATTGCCCATGCCAGTCAGTAAGATGCCTAACGATGATGACAATGACCAAACTGCGAGAACAAGAGACTAAAAAGAGCGGTGCCAGATGAAAGCAAAATTCTGGGGTCCAAGGAAACATAGTAAACCCACACAGAACTGGTGTTCTCAGTTGATCCACACAGATGGATAAACTGAGGAGTGGATCTGAACATTTATGTAGAGTGAGGATGATCTATCGACCAATTGTTTCTTATTTTATAATAACATATTAGATTCACATTCAACAGAACATCTCACCTTGCCACAATCCACTTGACAGTCCATCAAACTGTGGGTTGAGTGACCGGGTCATTAGCTCCGCTGACCGAGGTCTCACAGCAGGAACCGCAGAGTGTGGGAACATCTTTGGTTTGATTGGGGTGACCAGGATCTGCTCTGACCAGGAAGCTTCTAGCGAAGGCTTGATAAGCGGTCTGATGTCCACATTTATCGCCTTCTGCTCAAAGGGGCAGGAGAACACTTCAAATGGGATACATTGCAGCCAAGCAAGCAATGACAAATCAGCATCATTGAACCCTGTGTCATTCAACAGTGACGAGTAAGAGAAGCCACCATTGCCTCCTGTTGCCTGTAAAAACATTTGGGTTCTTCATTAATATCCTCCCCCAGATGATGTCACAGGACAGTCCAACATTTTAGAGGGTGGTAAGACTGGGTTGCCCGGCTTTCTGATGCTTTAATGATCCCAAAACATCTAGAACTGGCCCTAACCCCAACCCACCTACGTCACACGAGAGAGTACAGCCTAGGTCCCACGAATGCATGCAGCCTATCTACCACCCTCTGAAATATTAGACTGTCCCGTGATCTGTGGATTTTCCCTGTTTGGGGTAGGATATTAATAAAGCACCAAAATTTGATGTAATTCACATATTTATATTTATCTGGTAGTCACATAATTGGGTAATCACAGTTCCAACTTCACAGAAAACAGGTCAACCATGGCTGCTCCATTCCTGTATCAAGGAAGGAAACCTCACAGGCTGCCCATCACAGTCCCTTGTGAAAAAAAAAAAACTGACATAAAGTGTAGTATTAGCAAATCCAAGAGCACACATGCGTACTTAATTTAGGTTTTAAAACAATTGACATGAGCTCTCCATTCTTAACAAATCAGCTCTATCTATTTATGTGAACAAATTATTTCAACTGAGTAAACATGATTTCACCCAGTGATATTTTCTTCAATTCCTATTAGAATTGTTTTCTTTCTTCCTGTGGCATTAAATTCTCTTTTTCCATTATTTCTCCTCTTCAACTATACAACCACATTCTAAAAGCTGAAATTCGACTATTACACTGATTAATAGTGTTCAAAATTATAAATTCCACTATGCAGAGTAAACTTAATACTTAATCATTCTTAATTATAATTGATAAATTATACATGACAAGGCAGATGTGGTCAAGGCCCTATAGGAACAAGCAATGGAATCAGTAGAGATAGAAAATTATCATGGCCTGGAGAGAATGGGGCACCTGGGGTGTAACCAGAGGGTCTGGCTGGCTCAATAGTCTCAGAGCAAACGCAAAATGGACATTAAACCAGATTGCCACAGGTACCATCAGTACTGAAACTCTGTGCTGGCTGCTGAAGATGAGGACAGAGCATGCATGAGAGTGCCCTGAGTGCTGTGATGTCAATTCTGGACTCAACAACTCAATTTAGAAAATGCCAGACACGGACAGTTATAAAAAAACATAAACGCAAAAGTACAAAATGTAAGAGTAGATGTATAAGAAATGTGCGGTGGAAAAAAAGAGGCGAAGTCACCAGCGAAGAACTAAGAACAGTTGTAGGCACAGTAATAATAAATAATTTCACAGAACGCCAAAGAATCAAATGGTTCGGTCATTTGTTCAGAATGGAACAAAATCAGCCAGCAGCACTACACGGGAACAGCAGGCTACAAGGCAAGAGGCTGGCCAAGAAAGTGATGGGTGGGAGTAGAAGGGACACCACAGAAGTACAATGTGACAACAACAAGCCACACAACAAACACAAGGCAAGAAGCTACCCCCAACTCCCTTCTGCGAGACTTTATGCATAAGTAGTAGGATGAAGGAAGAAGATATTTAGAAAAATACCAGTACTTTACCAGACATTAACACAGAGAAAACACGCCCATGAACAGCATCATTTGTCTCAACCTATCATCATCATCATCATCAACAAGATCTATGCCAAAAAGCATAGGCAGTCATACTTCACGATCTCACACAATCACAGATCATGTTAGTGTTCGTGTCTTACCCCATGCATATGACTAAGACATCCAAGTATTTACCCCTTTGCGTTCCCCTTGCTCTTTTACCATCAGTCTTGCAAGTCATTACCATTATCAAATCCATGCCTTCTGGGGACTGAGCACTTATGGGAGTGTCCCGAGTGCTGTGATGTTGATTCTTAATTCAACATTCCTTCTCATAACATGTACAACAACATGTCTATGTCTAATTTCTCCAAACAGTTGACGGTTTTCATCTATCTAAAGAAGCACGGCCTCATTTGTTCTTCTTCACACTTGCCGGCTGTAAACTCCAGTGAAAAGTTCTGGTTGTTCGTCCACTTCTGGACTTTGGTCTTGTACCAGAACTTGAGAATTGCATGCACATTTGTTTACAGATCTGGCTTTTTTTGTGTAAGCAGATTGTTGGAATCTTACATCTCAGGCAGATGCACTCTGATTCTACAAGAAACAATTAGTTGACTTTTACAGCATGCTTGTTGAAAGTGGGGTAAGGGGAAGGAAGCAAGTTTATTCTCACCTCCAGCCCTAAATATGGCCCCGTAACCCCCAGGGAGAATTCTTTTCATTTATCATTCCATGATATTCTTTGCATGCTTCCCCCTGCCTGCGAGTAAATGTTTTTAGCTCAACTGCTAATTGGCTTGCCTAGAACATTGAACATTGAAAATATGCTTAGGCTATCAGGACTTTCTGTCGGCCTTTACAGCTGGTGAACATAGCATAAGAAGAAGAAGCAGAAGAGAGGAGGAAGTGGAAGAAGAAGAAGAAGGTGGAAAATGAGGAGGAAGAAGGTAGAAGAAAGTGAAAAACACTCTGAATGTCCATCACTGTTCCTTTGGAAAACAACTGAAACAGACAGCAGTCTTAGCAAATCCAATCACAGACACACACATTTAATGCATAAATCAGCAGTCAGACAAACAGTCCAGTACTATAAATAACAGTTCATCATCGATGGAAGCAATAGCTACGACAGATCAGTAGTCGTACATGCAATTAATTGCATAAGGCACCATAAGTTCTCTGGCTATAGGCCATTCACAGTTTATAACATAAACCATTCTGGAAAAGCATTCCAAATGAAATCTGCTGCTCACAGTGTCATTCCATGCACTTAACTCACTAGCTAGAAAATGTATTGTCAATACCACAATGACAAAAGACATGCTTACCTGCTGCTGGCAGAAGTCCACACAGGATTCATACAGCATACCCTTCAGAAGCAGCTGCATGAGTCTGTCATTGCAGCTCATCTGGTTCTTTTGCTCATCCTTTTTCTCAATCGGTAAGTAAGGTCGCAGCAAAGGCTCAACCTAGATTTGTAAGAACAGGGATGTATTTTAGTTAACAGATCTCAGAAAGCAGCTGTGGGTAGATGTAAATGACAATACAAGCACCAACATGATTGTGTGAAATGGGAGCAAATCATGGTGAAGCACATGTGCACTGCTTTCAAGACCGCGTCAGGAAAAATTATAACCAGCTCCTTATAGGAACAATCAGTAGTGGTGGCTGATGCATCGGTGGACTGAGCAGCAGGCATGGAAATGCCCAAGGTGCAGTGAGATAAACCCTAACTACAAGCATTAAGGCGATGTCAGTTTGAGATTAAACAGTTCTCTGGGATGCAGAGGTGAAAAACATGTGTTGGTGCACCAGGGTACAAACTAGTCAAGACCTATCTATACCTCACCTTGGTTATCCACGACGAAGTGGTCAAGCCATTTGCCTCATGCTCTGAAGGTCATGGGTTTATTTCACAGCTGCCCCGTTCAGTTCACGGGTGTAATTTTTATGGAGATCCCTGGGGAGCATCGCCGGAACTACGGAGGTCTTGCTCGGTGTGATGCTCTCGGCAAGCATTTAGCTGTTCTGGAGAGAGAGACTGAGCCATATGGGATAAAATCTGGTGCAATGAAGTCAATCCTCTCACCTTTACCTTTACCTATCCCAGAAACTGGTACCCTACTTGGGGTCTAGCCAATGTGGACAGAATCCACATTTCCTTCAAAGTGCATCTGCCTGAGAGGCAAAGCACCAATAGTCTGTACAAAAGTAAGCAGCTAAATCTGAAACACAGATGTTCACACAACACTCAGGTCCTGGAACAACACCAAAGTTCAGAGGGCAAAGGACAACCAGAACTTTCCACTGGAGTTAACAACAGATGAACAAGATGAGGAACAAGAACTTGTCTATAGAAAGACATATACCTACAACATTCACATGAAATACTCATCACACAGACATGTCTAAGATAAAACACATGCACACAGGTAAACACACCCACAACTATTACCTGAAATACCCATCACTGACCTGTCTAAAGCAGAAAGATAAAAAGCTATAACAATCACCTGAAATACTCACTGACCTATCTTAAACATAAAGCTATAAAGCTACAACAATCACCTGAAATACTCATCGCTCACTGACCTGTCTAAAACAGAAAGCTATAAAGCTACAACAATCACCTGAAATACTCATCGCTCACTGACCTGTCTAAAACAGAAAGCTATAAAGCTACAACAATCACCTGAAATACTCATCGCTCACTGACCTGTCTAAAACAGAAAGCTATAAAGCTACAGCATTCACTTGAAATACTCATCGCTCACTGACCTGTCTGAAACAGAAAGCTATAAAGCTACAACTATCACCTGAAATACTCACTGACCTATCTTAAACAGAAAGCTATAAAGCTACAACAATCACCTGAAATACTCATCGCTCACTGACCTGTCTAAAACAGAAAGCTATAATGCTACAACAATCACCTGAAATACTCATCGCTCACTGACCTGTCTAAAACAGAAAGCTATAAAGCTACAGCATTCACTTGAAATACTCATCGCTCACTGATCTGTCTGAAACAGAAAGCTATAAAGCTACAACTATCACCTGAAATACTCACTGACCTGTCTACAATATAAAGCTATAAAGCTACAACATTCACCTGAAATACTCATCACTGACTGACCTGTCTAAAACAGAAAGCTATAAAGCTACAACTATCACCTGAAATACTCACTGACCTGTCTAAAACATGAAGCTACAACAATCACCTGAAATACTCATCACTCACTGACCTGTCTAAAACAGAAAGCTATAAAGCTACAACAATCACCTGAAATACTCATCACTCACTGACCTGTCTAAAACAGAAAGCTATAAAGCTACAACAATCACCTGAAATACTCATCGCTCACTGACCTGTCTAAAACAGAAAGCTATAAAGCTACAGCATTCACTTGAAATACTCATCGTTCACTGACCTGTCTGAAACAGAAAGCTATAAAGCTACAACTATCACCTGAAATACTCACTGACCTGTCTACAATATAAAGCTATAAAGCTACAACATTCACCTGAAATACTCATCACTGACTGACCTGTCTAAAACAGAAAGCTATAAAGCTACAACTATCACCTGAAATACTCACTGACCTGTCTAAAACATGAAGCTATAACATTCACCTGAAATACTCATCACTCACTGACCTGTCTAAAACAGAAAGCTATAAAGCTACAACAATCACCTGAAATACTCATCACTCACTGACCTGTCTAAAACAGAAAGCTATAAAGCTACAACAATCACCTGAAATACTCATCACTCACTGACCTGTCTAAAACAGAAAGCTATAAAGCTACAACTATCACCTGAAATACTCACTGACCTGTCTACAATATAAAGCTATAAAGCTACAACATTCACCTGAAATACTCATCACTCACTGACCTGTCTAAAACAGAAAGCTATAAAGCTACAACAATCACCTGAAATACTCACTGACCTGTCTAAAACATGAAGCTATAAAGCTACAACTATCACCTGAAATACTCACTGACCTGTCTAAAACATGAAGCTATAACATTCACCTGAAATACTCATCACTCACTGACCTGACTAAAACAGAAAGCTATAAAGCTACAACAATCACCTGAAATACTCATCACTCACTGACCTGTCTAAAACAGAAAGCTATAAAGCTACAACAATCACCTGAAATACTCATCGCTCACTGACCTGTCTAAAACATTGAACTCTTGAGAAGTGGAAAATAAGCCAGATCTGTAAAATACTGTTATAATGAGGGCTATTAGACTAAAATATCTGGGACATATTGAGAGAATGTCAGATGACAGAGGTTAAAAACTGTACACAAGCAGTAGATCATGAGGCAAACCAAGAAGACAATGGAGAGATAATATTCAGACAGACATACAAATGATTTGGTGTCCCCAACTGGAAAGAGAAGGTCCACCAGAGAGATGAATGGAGGTGGATGATTTCTGCAGCAATGAACTTCAAGTGGTCAGAATGAAGAAATTGAAGTAGTAGCAGTAAAATAAGCCAGATCCGTAAAATAAGCCAGATCTGTAAAACCGAAGGATGTGTACACTGACCTGTCTAAAACATTCCACTCTTGCGTTGCTAGGGTTCCAGTTCTGGTACTCGCTGTGGTCTGATAACTTTGGCAGTGACAACAGGAAACATAAATTGCTGGAAAATAATGCAGCAAGAAAGGCGTGTTAAACTGCAACTTTTTTATAATAACCTGTTCATAGGGGGTCTTCGTAGCAAACTGGTCAAGCCATTGCTCTTGCACACTGAAAGTTGTAAGTTTGTTTTATGGCTGCGTTGTTAAGTTGATGAGAGAAATTTTAATGGAGACCCCTAGGGATCATCACTGGAGCTACAGAGTTAGTACTTTGTGTGACATTAGTGGAGAGGGAACCCAGCCCTATGGGATAAAACACAGTGCAATGTAGTTTATGCTGGTGACTTGTAACATTCTGCAAACAAATATTCCAGATCTGTAAAACAAATGTGCATACCAAACTAAAGTCCAGACGTGTAAAAAGAACCAGAACTTTCGCCAGTGATCATGAAGAAGAAGAAGAACCTGAAGAGGCCGGTGACAATGACCACTAAGCAATCATGCCAATAGCTGTGACTCCCTCTGGATACTACTTTACTACTTGTAGCCTGCAAGAAGTTTTGTGGTGCAATTTGAGAAATTCTGTGTAATGTAGCTAGCTAACCCTTACGAGGCTCATACTAAGACCGTCCCCATCTTAAAAGTAAGTAAGTTTTCACGCCATCAGACGTATAGGGCATATAGGGCTAGACCTATATTTTTATAGACCAATCGGCACAAGATGGGTGATGTGGTCAGCATCATGCCGGCCGCCTTTACTTTCCCGGGACTGCACCCGGTACCCACTGAAGGCTGGGTCGACCTGGGAGCCAAGGTCATTTTTTAAAAAAGTCCGGCTCCGCCAAGGAGCAAACCCACGACCTTCCGATCCGCGACGAGTGTCTAGCCGCTCAGGCGACTCCCCATCCCAATCTTATTCACAACAATCTTTAATTCTTTCCTCCAAGAGATTTTTCCAATTATACCTGTATTTCTTCAACCCTGTGGGTTCTAATGTAGATGATATACATACAAATGATGTCCCAATGCAAATGATGCCCCGATGCAAATGATGCCCCAATGCAAATGATGTCCCGATGCAAATGATGCCCCGATGCAAATGATGTTCCAATGCAAATGATGCCCCGATGCAAATGATGTCCCAATGCAAATGATGCCCCGATGCAAATGATGCCCCAATGCAAATGATGCCCCGATGCAAATGATGTTCCAATGCAAATGATGTTCCAATGCAAATGATGTTCCATTGCAAATGATGTCTCAATGCAAATGATGTCCCAATGCAAATGATGTCCCAATGCAAATGATGTTCCAATGCAAATGATGTTCCATTGCAAATGATGTCCCAATGCAAATGATGCCCCGATGCAAATGATGTTCCATTGCAAATGATGTCTCAATGCAAATGATGCCCCGATGCAAATGATGTCCCAATGCAAATGATGTTCCAATGCAAATGATGTTCCAATGCAAATGATGTTCCAATGCAAATGATGTTCCAATGCAAATGATGTTCGAATGCAAATGATGTTCGAATGCAAATGATGTTCCATTGCAAATGATGTTCGAATGCAAATGATGTTCCAATGCAAATGATGTCCCAATGCAAATGATGTCCCAATGCAAATGATGCCCCGATGCAAATGATGTTCCAATGCAAAGGAGCAAACCCACGACCTTCCGATCCGCGACGAGTGTCTAGCCGCTCAGGCGACTCCCCATCCCAATCTTATTCACAACAATCTTTAATTCTTTCCTCCAAGAGATTTTTCCAATTATACCTGTATTTCTTCAACCCTGTGGGTTCTAATGTAGATGATATACATACAAATGATGTCCCAATGCAAATGATGCCCCGATGCAAATGATGCCCCAATGCAAATGATGTCCCGATGCAAATGATGCCCCGATGCAAATGATGTTCCAATGCAAATGATGCCCCGATGCAAATGATGTCCCAATGCAAATGATGCCCCGATGCAAATGATGCCCCAATGCAAATGATGCCCCGATGCAAATGATGTTCCAATGCAAATGATGTTCCAATGCAAATGATGTTCCATTGCAAATGATGTCTCAATGCAAATGATGCCCCGATGCAAATGATGTCCCAATGCAAATGATGTTCCATTGCAAATGATGTCCCAATGCAAATGATGCCCCGATGCAAATGATGTCCCAATGCAAATGATGTTCCATTGCAAATGATGTCTCAATGCAAATGATGCCCCGATGCAAATGATGTCCCAATGCAAATGATGTTCCAATGCAAATGATGTTCCAATGCAAATGATGTTCCAATGCAAATGATGTTCCATTGCAAATGATGTTCCATTGCAAATGATGCCCCGATGCAAATGATGTCCCAATGCAAATGATGTTCCAATGCAAATGATGTTCCAATGCAAATGATGTTCCAATGCAAATGATGCCCCGATGCAAATGATGTTCCAATGCAAATGATGTTCCAATGCAAATGATGTTCCAATGCAAATGATGTTCGAATGCAAATGATGTTCGAATGCAAATGATGTTCCATTGCAAATGATGTTCGAATGCAAATGATGTTCCATTGCAAATGATATCCCAATGCAAATGATGCCCCGATGCAAATGATGCCCCGATGCAAATGATGCCCCGATGCAAATGATGTCCCGATGCAAATGAAGTTCCAATGCAAATGATGCCTCGATGCAAATGATGTTCCAATGCAAATGATGTCCCAATGCAAATGATGTCCCAATGCAAATGATGCCCCGATGCAAATGATGTTCCAATGCAAATGATGTCTGAATGCAATTGATGTCCCGATGCAAGTGATACACTAATGAAATGATGTTTCAATGCAAATTATGTACAAACCTGTACTCTTCCTTGCTGCCACACAGAGCCTCTAGGGTGTTCAAACATTTGACCACCTCATCAACTGTGGTCTCATAATTCTGCATCACATTCGGCTCAGACTTGATGCACAGAAGCTCCAGATATTTATGCTTTAGGATAATGTACTGGAACTTTTTACTGCAGACACAAATAACAACCTTCACTGTGTATACAGACTAGTTCCCCTTCATTTTATATAGTAACAGCACCACTTACAGCTATTTCAAGGCAGTAACTTCCAACATATCTTGTGCAATATATCCTTGTCATTGAGAGTTAGAATAAGAATTCTTGCTTGCTACATACATCCACTTTTAACATATGGCTGTGAATCCTAGACAATCGGTAGGTAGGCCAAACAGTTTTTGGAGGCCTCGGAGATGTGGTTTTACAGAAGAATGCTTAGAATACCTTGGACAGCCAAAAAGAGCAACCAAGAGGTTTTGAAAGAGGCAGGAGCCCGAAGACAACTTATCACAGACATCAGAAGGAGACAGTCATCATTTTTCGGCCATGTTATGAGAAGAGGGAAAATAGAACATGTTGTGACCACTAATAAGATATGTGGAAGGAGAGACAGAGGAAGATAAGGAGAGAAGATGCTTGACAGTCTTCTTGCATGGCATGGAGGTATGTCGGCACATGAACTGATACATGCTGCAGGAGATCGTGGATTATGGAGAGGCATGATCGCCCACGCCAGTCAGCAAGGCACCTGATGATGATGATCTTCTAACATGGAATACAGGGATTAGACTATCCCAGTTAGACAATTTCTAACAAATGGGCAAAGTAATTATTAAAATAGGCTGAATTTTGCAATGAGACATAGATTATTATGTGCAGAAATGAATACACTTTTATATAGTGTTAAAAATTAAAATTCCACACTTCTGAAAAAAATTAGTAAGTTTAGGGGGTTTAACATGTCCTAAAAACGTGAATTGTTACTAACTGGTGACAATGTGAAATTTGATGTGTAAATAATGTGGGCACAGACAATACACTGCACAATTTATTGCTAGGCATATTTCGCTGTAGCTCGTCAGGTGTATTACTACAGAGCTACATCAATAAATAACGATACACAGTAATATTTATTATTCTGTTTCTTCTTCTTTATCCACTAGCTGTAAGCTCTGGTGGAAAGTCCTGATTGTTCACTCATTTGGACTTTGGCTTTGTGCCAGGGCCTTGAGTTTTGGGTGTACATCTGTTTTACTGTCTTATTTGTGTTCCGCTGGATGTTCTTTGCCACTCAGGCAGATGCACTTTGAAGGAAGTCTCCAATTAGTTGACTCCTACTACATCTCTGTTGGGGAAACAGGGGGTCTATTCTTGTTTTCTCCACAATGGGGCCCTGGAACCCACATAGGGAGGAATTTATCCAGTATTTGTGCTTTTTTTTTAAATTTTGATGTAACTGTGTAGTAGTAGCACACCTGACGAGATACAGCGAAACATGTAAAAGTAAAGAAAAGGTCCCTTTTCCACGCCTTTAGGCATATAATGCTAGACCTATAATTTTAAAGACTAATCGGCACAAGATGGCTGATGTGGTCCTCATCATGCTGGCCGGCATTACCTCCCAGCACTGCACCCGGTACCCACTCAAGGCTGGGTCGACCTGGGAGTCAAGGTAATGTTTTTTAAAAGTCCGGCTCTGCCAGGGAGCAAACCCACGACCTTCCGATCTGCACGTGAGCGTCTAGCCGCTACGCCACGGTGACTCCCAGCGAAACATGTCTGGCAAAAAATTGTGCCATGTATTGTGTCTAAAGTTTTTTTAAATTCACTACAGAAAAACACTGTTTAAAAAAACTTGATCTTATTGGGAAAAGAATGGCAAATGCTTGAACTGTGACTCTCAGATTATTCCAGCCTTTTAAAAAGACTGTGGTCTCTCAGGTCATTTGTTTATTAATTATCAGCCTTCATATCTTCTGAAAAATGTTATGGATATGTGTGTGTATACACACACACATACACACACATATATATATACATACATACACACATAATCAATTTCTTAGTGACCTCGAGGTGAAAGTATTAAAATGTAAAATGTTTATTTGAAAAGCCATATGCTGATGTGAAATAAAACTCATTACCTGTTGAATGCCTCGATAGTTATCAACGGCTGAATGAAGTCAATGACATCATCCCACTGGCCGTCCAAGATCAGTTGTCTCAGAAAAAGCATATCATCAGAGAAGATCCCATTGATAATCCCAGTCTCTCGCTCCAAGGATAACATGGAGATGTTAAGTGTTCTGTTCTGCAAAAACTCGGCAATGAGTTTAACCACATCCACTTCATTGACTAAGAGGTTGCCAGGCGGCATTTTACTGAGTTACACGGAGCCAAAATTTATATTTGAACAGTTATCATGAGTTACTTGGAACTATTCAATCGTGGATTGGCTGAGACAGTAACATCATTAGAAACCTGCAAAACAGAAATGAAAGTATTTTCTCACAGAATTTCTAAGACAAACTTTATATCTGTAATAAAATTAGACTTCTTCTTCTTCTCGTTCACGGGTTTTAAACTCTGATGGAAAGTTCTGGTTGTTCATCCACTTCTGGACTTTAGTCCTATTCCAGAACCTGAGTGTTGCGTGCACATCCTTTTAAACAGATCTGACTTATCTGTATCTACACTGTTGGTTCCTTGCATCTCAGGCAGATGTGCTCCAACTTCAGAGGAAGCTCCCAATTAGTTGACTCTTACACCACCCTTTTCGGTAGATGGGTCTATTCTTGTTTTCCTCACAATGGGGACCCAGAATCCACACAAGGAAATAAAACTAGTGATCTTTTTCTTCTTCTGTCCTACTGTTTATGCCATAAAGCATCACAGAGATAAGCTACATGCTGTTTCCCTCTTGTGCTACTTGTGTAGCTTGTGTTTATGTTATACTGCATTTTTGTAGTGTCTCATTTACTCCCTCCATCCACTTCTTTCTTTGTCTACCTCTTGACATGCTGTTCTCATGTAGTACACTCTAGCTGCTGGCTGATTTAGTTTTTTCTGACCAGAGGACAAAACTATTTCTTATCTGACGTTCTATGAAATCATTTACTAGAACTGTGTCTACCACTACTGTCTTTAGTTCTTTTTTTTTGGGGTGACTGCCTCTTCTTGTTTTCTCCCGCCTCATTTCTTATAACATCACATTTCGCACGTTGTAATTTTACATTTATGACTGTCCATGTCTAGCACTGAATAGTTGGTATGAATAGCACATTTATCAGCTGCATTTGTGTGTGTGTGGGAAAGTTGATATTTGGATGTCTCAAAATTATGCTCTTCAGTAATTTACGATCTTGGCCTAATGTACTGTCAAGTCTGGATAAGTAGAAGTCGCAGGGACCTAAGAAAATGCTTCAACTTATCAGGATTTCTACTTATCCAGACAGCACACACAATAGAGAAAATTGCCCGGGACTAAGCTGGTCATGTCGACTTGACTGTATTCACTTTTCAATGAGTAGAATGCTGGCCTGCCAGCTTTGCAGTAAGAGATTTGAATCCATACTGAGACACAACCTGGTCTCACAGATCAACTCAGTCTGAAGGGAATATCAGGACATGTTCTGGGAAGTAAAGGTGACCAGAGGCTATGGATGCTCACCTGCTGGTCCAAAGGTCTAGGGTTCAAATCCACAGCGAGTGAGAATTTATTTTTTAAAATTTGACCTTGGTTTCCAGGTTGACCCATCCCGAAATGGGTACCTGATAATGTCTTGAGAAGTTGAAGTAAACGCAGCTGGCATGAAGGTGACCACATATCCTGTGAGAGCCAATAGGTATATACAAATATAGCTTTATGTTAGCACTATATGATGATTGATGCACCTTAGGTGTGACAAGGGTCTTTCACTTACTTACCTCTACTGTACATAATATTAACATATTGTGTTGTCAAAATCGGATACAAAGATATGATCTTAAAAATGCTTACTATATTTAACTATTATAATAGATAAGTGGCATCTCAGTATACATCTGCTTTCTAATAAGTCCAACCAGGCATATATCCTGTTTAGACGCCCAAAATATTGTTTGAAAAAAAAAACTCACAAGCTAGAACTTGTATGAGTCAAAATGAGTCACAACACAAATGTCTGCCAAATGAATTAATATTAAAAACTTTGCAGAAAGCAGCAACAAAGTCAAAACAATTATGCCTGAAAATTATTTCGTAAAATTTTTATTGAGAAGGTAGAAGCAAAGTTATTTAAACAGATGTGTAGTAAAAGTCAAACCTGTTGAGCAATAGTCAAACCTGTTGAGCAATCAACCAGGTCAAAGTAGGAAAAAGAAACACACACACCAGAATTTCAGATTCGTGAGGTTTTCCTGGAAACGGACTAGCTTCTGGCTCTCCTCAGAACTTCTACCCCGGCCAAACAAATACCCTAACAGGGCCTCAGTCCTATGAAAAATGCGGCCCTCTGGGGACAAACACATCGCGGCAAAACTAGGATTGCTTGACAATGTCACGACACGCAACACTGCAGATGATAGTAGCAGACGATAATAGCAACCGTTGACAATTTCCAGCGTTTCTGCAGAGGATACTAGCTACCATTGACAATTTCGAGACATGCAACAATACACACGATAACAGCAACATGGTGGGGAGACCACACGATCCGACGCAGATTAGCGATAGTGTTCTTCCAATTAAACTCACCGCCCAGCGTATTCCCCGCGCCGCACGTAGCTGCGCGGATGGGGATCTAACTAGATGCCTGGGACTCATGAGCAAATAAATTGGAGGAAGTTGCAGGAGATACGGTAGCTGACTGAGTCCCTGTTAAGGTATTTATTTGGCCACCATAATGCCGGGATAGAAGTTCAGAGGAGAGCCCAACTTCCAAACAATTACATCTCCTCCTTTCTCAGCAACAGTCCTAAGAGACAAAGTCTTCTCAAGGTAAAGTGAGGTTGAATTTTCATTTATTTCATCCAATCTTAATCACTTTGTATAATTTTAGTGTTAGGCAGTGTATGTTATGTTATACAACCCCATCAATAAAATATGACAATAAGGAGTCCCCACAGGACAGGATTTATAATTTTCCCGTTATTTCATATAAGTAAAGGCTATATTTCTGTTTCGTATATAGAATACTAAGATACCGCTGTATTATTGTTATTTAGAACTGAGGACAGACAGGTTACAACAAGGTTCTCATACATCATCATCACTCTGTTAACGATGCACTGGACGAAACCATTTTCACTCACCATTTAAGAACCATGTCATCTTTTGAGAAGAGGAGAGTCGAGCGTGAGCGATCGTTAACACCGAAATCATGCACAAAATAATTATCCAGCGAGGAACTTTGAAAACATTGAATTGACTTTCAACTTGAACATCGTTTTCACAACAATGTTAATGTTGTTAAAATAAAAATAAATATTCACAATAATTAATTAATCTGTGATTACGACAGTCATGTTAGTCTGCACCAAAATAGATCTACTAAAACGAATGCTCACTTACTCAACTACAGAAAGGTGCAAGCGGCTTGCCTAAAACGATTTCAGGCAGGTAGATAAAAGAAAAAAAAAGTGTATGAGTCAGAATATATGATTTCATTGGAAATGGAGACGGCTTGTTTTCGGCTGCTTGCCCCGGAAGTGAAACCCTTGGCGATTATGAAATGCATTTGCATAACTTATGAAGTCTGTCGATATCTTCTTCTTGTGCCCGGTCTGAAGCAGGCGTTGACGACTAAACACATTTATTCGCTGCTCTCTCTCTCTCTCTCTCTCTCTCTCTCTCTCTCTCTCTCTCTCTCTCTCTCTCTCTCATATAGTAAATATATATATATATATATATATATATATATATATATATATATATATATATATATATATATATATATATATATATATATATATATATATAGCGTTTTTTGTTCTCTACCCAGTACCAGTTATTTTTAGGCATAACTTTTCAGTACTGAGGTAATAGGTAATAGACGAAAAAAGATGCAGTTTCGTCCTTTATAGGATGAAATTTTTTTTGTTTTTTGAAGCCCCACCCTGGCTTTTGCCAGGGGCCGCAATATAGGCAGGCCATAAATATGTCCAGTTGTCTGAACGCGGTTTCTGAGACCTTTCCACGGTGATCCTCATCCACATGGTGGCACTTTGTGTCATCGGGTGTTTATCGCTTGTGTGATGTCCTGTGGGGTAGAAAGTCAGTCAGTCAGTCAGTCAGGTAATAGGTTGTTTTTAGGAAGCACCGGCACCTTTTTGTCTAGAGTGAAAAAGCCCCATATATACACACAAAGTGTGTATGTGTGCGTGCGAGTGTGTGTGATACCATAACAACCTATTTTATGCCTACGACACCGTCTTGATAACGACAAGTCAGAAAGAACGTCATCAATTGATAGATGTGGTGTTGGTAGAAAGTGATAAAACTTGAATAATGGGAAAAAGAAGTATTGGTAATAAACAAAAAAAAAAAGAATATTTCCCTAAATGCATAATAAATATCAGAGGGGTGATTTCAGGACAAGTACAGCAGTTAAAGTATCTATCACACGGGTAACATCCAACGGAGGACTATCACAGAGATAAAGAAGTGAATAAGACAGGTTAAAACAGCATTTTATAAAATGAATATTGTATGGAAAAAAAAATTCACATCACTGGATGTTAGAAATTATTCATCATCATCATGTAGCAGGTAGTTTGCAGACCGTCGCTCTCATCACGGTCTGCCTGAAAGAAACTCGGTCTCTCGCCAGTTCTCCTGCCTCATGTACTCTCATACTCAAGGAGTCACTTAAATGCTGTGCCCATCTTCGTGTCGGTCGGCCCCTGCCCCTCCTTCCCGGTACCATGCCTTCTGCTATAATTTTTTCCAATCCGTCGTGGCGCTTGATATAACGAAAATATTTCAGCTTCCGAGACAGGATGCTGTTTATTAGCCAATCTTCCTTGATGTTCAGATCTTTCAAGATGTCAGTATTTCTCCTCTTCTTTGTCCAGGATATTCTGAGAATCTTGGTAATATTATAAAAATTAATAAGCAAGCTAATTTGTCTATTTCCCAGAGATGTGGGTTTCAAGAAGAATCATTTGAATTCCCTGGACAGCTAAAATGTGCAAACCCAGTTTTGAAAGAGGTGAGGGCTCGAAGACTGCTTTTCACAAATCTCTTTGTTGTGTATGTTGATGTCACACCCAGGTTCTCTTTAGTTTGCTACAGAAGGAGTCAATTGAAGAATATAGACGAGGAGAAAGAGGGTCGTGTCGATAATGGTGATGATGATAGTCTCTCATGCTTGGTTCATACTTCTCACGTCACTGATG